TTATGAAGAATTATAGCGACACAGCCGAGTGATCAAAAAGATTACCATCAAGTAGTGATTTCTTATATCCCGCTTAAATGATCTCTTATACAAGTTACACAGAGCTATTATCTTCTCCAAGATCGACTTGCAGCGGATATCACCATATACGGATGAGGCCAAGCAGCGAGTGGAAGACCGCATTCAATACACGAGACAGACTTTATGAGTGGACCATTATGCCTTTCAACCAGTCGAACGCACCCAACAATTTCATGAGATTGATGAACCAGTTATTTCGGCCTCACATTGGAAAATTTGTCATTGCCTAATTTCACGACATTCTAGCGTACAACCATTCGAAGGAGGATCACTTGCATCACCTAAAGACAGTTTCAAGGTGTTGTGAGCAAAAAAAATATATATCTATTCGAAAAAATATCACTTCATGACAAGCCAAGTATGCTTTCTGGGTTAAATCGTGACTAGTGCAAACATTCATATGAATCCCGTAAAGAGAGAGGTCATTATCAATTGAGCCGCACCACAATCATTCACCGAGTTGAGGCAATATTTGAGGATGACATCCTTTTATTGAAGATTCATTAGCAACCTCAGCACTATCACCTCCCTCTAACCAAAGAAGTTTGATTGGACAACAGAAACTCGGGACAATTTTGACACACTGAAGGAAATGGTCTCAGGCACTTGTGCTAGCACTATCAAACTTCAACCAACTTTTTGAGGTAGAATGTGATACCTTCAACATGGGGATCGGAGCAGTGATAAGCCAGGGAGGACCCCACATCATTTTTATTCAGTGAGAAGTTGAATGAGTCCAGGAGGAAATACTCGACTTACGACAAAAAATTCTACACTATCGTAAGAGCTCTGGAGCACTAGAGTCGTTACCTATTGACGAACAAGTTCACACTATTTATAGATCAAGAGGCCCTAAAATTCCTCAACGCCAGAGCAAACCGCCACTTGGGTGAAATTTCTAGCATCTTTTCAATTTGTGCTGAAACACAAGGCGGGAAGTCGGAACCGCATAACAGATGCACTGAGTCGTTGACATTTATTGATCACATCCATGCAGGCTCGAGTGGTGGACTTTGAGGTCATAAGGGATCTATATGAAACAGATGATGATTTCAAAGACATATGGGGGCAATGTCAGGAGAAACTAGCACGACAATATTACTGCACAAATGGATATTTGTTCCACCCCGGTGTTCACTAAGGAGGCCATTGTCCAGGAAGGCCACATCAAAGGACTAGAAGATCACTTCAACAGGGACAACACTCTCGCCCACTTAATGGAGCATTTTTTGGCCAAAATTAACGAGAGATGTAGAACAATATGTCAGGAAATGCATGATTTGTCATCTAGCAAAGAGAAGAGCTCAAAACGTCGAATTATATACACTTCCAGTTCCAGAGGCGCCGTGAGTGGACGTCGGCATGAATTTCGTGTTAAGACTTCCAATGAACCAAGAGAACAAGGACTCCGTAATGGTTGTATATAGATTCTCCAAGATTGTCTACTTTACACCCTGTCATCGGACACTATACGCCTCTTACATTGTCAATCTATACTTCAAAGAGATTGCAATGATGCACGGAATTTCCGAAATCATCACCTCCGACAAAGATGACAAATTCCCGGGTCACTTCTAGAGGACACTGTGGGGAAAGTTTGGCACCAAACTCTAATTCAGCTGGGCAGCTCATCCAAAGACAAAAGGACTGATAGAGGAAGTAAGTCGGAACCTCGATAATCTTTTGAGATTTTTTGTGGGAAAAAACATAAAACAGTGGGATCTTATTCTAGCCCAAATTGAGTTTGCCTGTAAACAATCCATTAGCCAAACTACTATAATAACTCCCTTCGAGATTGTGTACGGACGCAATCTGCTCACACCACTTGAATTGGTGTCGATCCCGCCCTCTTCAGAAATTAGTCAGGATGTCACAGAACGAGTTCACGAGATTCAAAAGCCTCACAAAGAAGTTGGCAAGAATATTGCTAAGCAGAACCGCAAAAATTAAGCACAAGTAAATAAATACAGACAGAAAGTACCGTTTCAAAAAGGCGATCTCGCATGGATTCGATTGAAAAAGGAAAATTTTCTCGTAGGATCATCCAGGAAGCTCAGGCTGAGAGCAGATGTACCTTTCAGAGTACTTCAAAAGCTGAATGACAATGCTTATAAGATCGATCTGCCCGATGACTACAACATTTCAGCCACATTCAATGTCGCAGACTTGACACCATACTTTGAAGAGCCAAGAGCTTCAACAAATAAGGTCAAAGCTTCCCCAACCCCGAGAGATTGATGCGGGTGCTAAAACAGCGTCTGGTTGCGGGCGCTAAAACAACACCCAAATACGGGCACTGAGCCGCGGAGAGCCAACCCACTGGTGAAGTCTCGCGAAGACGAGAAGAGGTGGAAGTATGGACAAGATCGAGAACTATCGCGATCCGGAAATGAGCATCACGAGGCTACCACACCCAGCAAAAATTTTTTGGATTCTTTTTGCCTTCCCCGCCCCTTCCTTTTGTGTGAGAGTTTTCCTTTTTATTTCTTTCGTATTTTTCCACAATGGGGAGTCTATAAATTGTTATTTTTTTGTGTGTAAGAGTTAGTTCTAGTTGTGTTATGTGGAGTCTTTTTTACCCTTGCTAGGGTTGTATCTGACGACAGGTGGTGCTCTTACTGTATCTTGCTCTGAGGTGGTGTTGTATCCTTTTAATATCCTTCTAGTACCTCTCCCCGACCCTTCTGCTACCTCTCCCCTAGCCGCCAACCACGCCTATATCCCTCCACCATTGCCTCCCTCAACAACTTTATTAAGAATGTTTGTTGCAAAACTCTCGAAATAAAGCAACGTGGAAAATAGGATTGGGCTCCACTTTGCTTGGTTAGACCAATCAAAATGGGCAGAGAATTGCATACACTTTGTTTTTGAGAATGCTCATTGGCCCAACCAAACAAAGCTTAATTAGTAGTTTGTGCCTTGTGCGCTGCTGTAATTTTTTAGCCTTATCTCAATAATTTAACAGCATACTTCTGTATAAAATGGAAAGCAATTTTTTGAAAAATCTAGATGTAAATTGGTATCGATGAGGAAACCCTATACTTACACTCTTTGGGAACAAAGTTTTGCAAACTATCAACAATTGCTTTGACTTATTTTATAACGAAGTATGACCAATCATGCATGGTATTATCTATAAAACAATCTAAAATACAAAACAAAGAAAAACCACTTAACTAAATCTACACTGGTTATAAAAAACATCTAGAAAAATCCAACAAATAAAATCTAGCTTGCAATCGAAACAAAAAAAGAGATATATTACAATAAAATCTCTGAGGTACAAGTTGGTCTAAATTTTACATTTGGGTTCATGAAGCCTTTTTGATCCAGAAAATTGGTCTTCATGGAGATACTTTTCAGTTAACAAAGGATAACTTTTGTTGTTAAATTCAATCTCATTAGAATATCTTTTTTTTTTAGTGCTGCTACAGCCTCAAAACAAATCCACAAAAAAATGGGAATGAGCTTCATTTTCCTCAGGTGGACCTACCAAAGTGGAAAGAGAAATACATAAAATTCTATTTTTTAATTGGAAGGCTGTTAATTGGCCCAACTAAGCAAGTGGAGACCAATTTAATTCTTTTGTTTGGATTCATTGGAAGTGAAGGTTCGCTCCAAGTGATTTGAAACAAAATTCTCAATTTATTATTATTTTTTTTATGAAAATAATCTGATTTGGAAAAGTCCAGCAGGATTTGAAAAATGAAAAATAGGATTTCTAATAAATTGCAAAAAAATTTATCCAAGATTTAAGTTAGTAACAAGTACAAAATATCATACACCACCATCCACTTCCCTCTTTTGTCCTTGTCGCCTCCGATGAAATCCACATTAAGTTGGCAAGCAATTCTTTGCATTGAAATTCATTTGAGTGGATTTGCATACACTTATTTTTTGTTTGGGGCAGTGTTAGTTGGCGCAACTAAGAAAAGTGGAGCCCAATCTTGTTTTTTTATGTGGATTTGTTTGGGGAGTGAAACTTTGTTTCTTATTCGAAAAACATACTCTCAAATTTTGATAGCTATTTAAGCAAGTAACCCAATTTGAAAAGGCCGGCTAGGATTGGAGCAACAAGTACCAAATGCTATACATACTCTACCATTAACTGGTTTTTATTTTTATTTTTTTTTATTTATTGTTCCTTGTCTCCTCTGGTGGGATCGTCATTAGCTAGCAAGAAATTCTCTAAGTTGGACTCATCTCAACAAGCTTCCCTCTTTTGTCCTGGTCACCTCCCATGAAATCCACGTTAAGTTAGCAAGCAATTCTCTGCATTGAACTTCATTTGAGTAGATTTGCATACACTTATTTTTTGTTTGGGGCAGTGTTAATTGGCCCAACTAAGAAAAGTGGAGCCCAATCTTGTTTTTTTATGTGGATTTGTTTGGGGAGTAAAACTTTACTTCTTATTCGAAATACATATTCTCAAATTTTTATAGCTTTCTAAGCAAGTAACCCAATTTGAAAAAGCCGGGCTAGGATTGGAGCAAAAAGTACCAAATGCTATACATACTCTACCATTAACTGGTTTTTTTTTTTCTTTTATTTATTCTTCCTTGTCTCCTCTGGTTGTACCGTCATTAGCTAGCAAGAAATTTTCTAAGTTGGACTCATCTCAACAAGCTTCCCGGCCATCATCTCCTCATTAGCTCGGTTTCTATTGGCTTCTTCCCGTTCTTGGGCAAAATTTCGAAAGAAAACGGGGATAGGATCAAAAGAGAAAGGAAAGTTAAATGATATTTTTTAGCAAGAAAAAATGAGAAAAATAAGATTTTTTTAATTCATGATTTAGTAAATGTGAGGACCAAAGTACAATAACGTTTATATCTCTATCATTCAAATTAAGGATTTTTTAAAAAGGGATCTGATGTGAAGTACTTTTATATCGCAGGGACGGGTGTAATTAAAAAAAATACCTCCCATATTATAGCAGAATTGTCTCTAGATGATGATGCCAAAAACTTCCCATTATTAGAGAATTGCACGAACCATACTTCATCTCCATGTCCTTGTAAGACCTAATAATACCATTAACAAAGCTTAGAATTCAACACTTGAATTTTCTATATGTGAGCGGCAGAGAAAGAGGACAAAAATAGTATGGCTCAGCAAAACAAACACTAAGCTGTTTTAAAAACATGATAACATAGATGAAATAAATCAACTCTAGATTCATTAGTCTCTCAAAATACACAGGTAATCTATAGGCATGCATGGGATAAACAATTAATTAGGATACCTAGGCAAAACTCTTAAACAAGAAGGAATATTTGCAAATAGAATCTAGCCACCAATTCAAATTAATTTAAGCTCTGAGACATTTTATTACTTTCCTTGATATCACCATTAAATGCATAATTTTTTAGAACTTCCTCTATTAAATAATTCAATTAATAACATAATTTCTCATAAAACTACTCCAAATGAAATAATGAAGATTGCAATCAAATACGCTCAATTTGGCATTACAATCTATTGTTGGGCAATGTTGTAAAGTAAAGTAGATGATTGTTTCATAAAATCATGTCATGTATAACAAGTGTTGCAATAGCTATAGTTGTTTGATGAAAAAACTTTATTAATTCGATGAATGAAATCAATACTATTATGTAAATTATACAACTAGTCCCAGTTTCAATTAACAAATAATAAATGATTGACTAATTAATTATTATAAGAAAAATAAAATACGCAAAAACACTTTTTCTAGGAACTTCTAAAACTATTATTCTAAGAAGTCACTATTCAATTTTTATGCAACTGAACTTGTTAAAGCATATTTTTCCAAACATCATATAACATATTTTGTTTTTAAAGGAAACATAAGCAGACAAAATAAAATAAAGAAATGTAAGCCAAACAGAATATTGATATCACAACATTACACACTTAGCAAATCAAACGAGATTTATAAAATTTTAGAAGATTTATCAAAACACCCCACAATAACAAAGAGATTCTCAAGTTAATACCATGCCAGACCTGGGTTGTTTGCGAAGGAATCTGGTCTTCTCTACAACGATGATCCGTGTACAATGTTAGGCAACAATCAATGGAGTTATGGAAATAACAAGCCTCACATTGAACATTTAGTGCCTGCTCAATCAAATGCTCTAACCTTCCCTCGGGAATCATAAGCATGGGAGGGAGGACTTTGTGCAATTCATCAAGAAGTTTTAGCCTGGAGTTGGAGTTTTGAACACCCTGGTTCATAGAACCAAGTGAGAGGTGCAAAGAAGGACAAATAATACAGCTTGAAAGTTCATGAACTCGCTTAGGCTTAATCTTAAGAGGGGTAATCTCATTTCTCAGTGTATTCAATGCATCAAAAACTTTATCCTTTTCAAGAAATTCACAGAACTTATGTTCCAGTATCATAAATGATGCAAGTTTCAGCACATTGTCAGAGATATTTATTTTTTTTAGAGTAGCCAAACTACCACCCCAATTTCCAGCAAGCACTTGCTTCCTAAATAAATCTACCATTGGTGAGTGTAAGGGTATGTCTGACTCTTCCTCCAAAATAGCTCCACTCCGCTCATATCCAAGAGAATAAAGAGCCTTTGTAATGATCCTAACGAACTCGGACCTCTTAATAATTCCCTTGGAGCCTATCATATCTTTGTTGCCATGGGTTGTCAAAGGTCTAGCCATTTGACCTCCAAAAAGATCAATATGATTCGAGGGAGATGGAATGTTGTTTGAGATGCCTTGTAGTACAGGTATGGTTTCTTTCACGCGCTTAGATGGTGGTTCACGATCATCTACACGACCCATGAAAGATAGTTAGCCCATATATAACTGGTTGTGGAAGAGGTGGTTGGTTTGACGTGGATCGAATCAATGGCTCCTGATGCAAACCTGTGAAACCATGAATGTATGTCAGTACAGAGCAAATTTGAACAAGTAATGACAATCCCTTGCAACAGCACAACTTGCAAGAATTTGAGTAGAAGATTCTTAAAAATTGAGCATTTACAGATCAAGAAAAAACAAAATTTTCATAGTCCAACCAATGAAATTATAATAGTGTAGCCAAGATTCAGAATAATTTTGCAAATGCCATAAAAAACAAATAACAAAAACAAAATACATCAATTCAGAGTTACAAACCAAATTGAAAAGAGGCATATTCTCATGGATCTATAGGCATCATAATACCAACTAAAATCTACTATATCCAGAAGCCACATATTACAGATTCATAATCTTTGAAATAGAAAACTTTAAAAGGAAATAAGTAGCTTTGGTTTTAATGTTTAGGATTTGCTAAATCCTAGTAGCTTTGCAATGCCTCCCTCACGGATTACTGATTTAAAGTAACAAGGTTTTGAATGACCAAAAGAAAATTTCAAGAACAAGTTCCACTTTCTTTTTTTTTTCTTTTTTTGTTTGGGTGAGGATAGTAGATAGGTTCATTGACATCTAGTTACATAAGAAACAGCAGATTCATGCTTTATATGAGATTTTATTTCATAATCTGCATAAACTTTTAGTCTGTGATCATAATTTTCATTTAACATAAGGTACTGGTCATTCTAGTCCATTGTTCGATAAAGAAACAGAGATCAGGAAAGGAAACCAGTCTCGTTCATGGTTTACATTTAACAGAAGGGAAACTGGTCGTTCGACTCCATCATTCTACAAAGAAAAGAAGGATTAAACAAGGTCCTGAGAGCAGAGTTCGCAGATGCACCAAATTACAAGGAATAATATCATAAAAATAGAATATCTGCCAGCAATTATTGGCTAAAATATTCCCGCATATTTTGGATTGCTAAACAGATCATCTCTGCAGCAGCAAATTAGCAGTATTTCAGCAAGATCAATCATAAATGATTAGCTCGAATATGAAATTTTTCCCCCGAAAGTAGTTTGGTTTAGAAACAATTCTTTGGGGTTTGCTCAATACTAACAGAAATGAATAGCCTCCATCACAGATCGAACGGCTATATATGTCAAAAGTGAGCTGCAAAAGCCGAAAAAACAAATATAGAATCATCACTACAATTCATATAATCAACATTCTAACAACTTAGCCCCAATCAAAAATAATAAAATTAATATCTAAAAAGAAAAATTCAAATCGCAATGAAAAGAGCAACAAATCAGCTCTTTAAAAACTAAAGAAATTACATCCTCCTCCAAATCCATACAATATCCTAAACTCAAGATAAATTCATCGCAGAGTATGACTCAGAACCAAATCTCTAAATCCAAAACAAAATCCCCCAAATCCGGTCCAAATCCTGAAAGCAAATAAACGAAATTTACAAAACCTAGAGGCGATCAATGAGCCAACAGAAGAAGCGGCCGAATTCAAAGCGGGAAAGAGAAAGAGTGGCGTGAAGGCTCAAAAACCTTCAAGAGAAGAGAAGATATCTCCCAACGTTCTTCGACGGCTTCATTAGATTAATAATATTTGCTTCGTCTGATGAGTCGGTGTTCGGTTCCTGGAAGAAAGCGTATGCCATTTGCATTAGATAAAGATGAGATGAATGTTGCAGACGACCCGAAACAACATTCGGAGAAAAAAAAATTTTATCGGTAAATTCTAGGTTTTTCCAGTCAGATTACGATGAAAATTTTACAGTGAAGTTCTGCCACGTCAAAATCTTTGTTTATTTTTAATAAATTTACAAGCATATCACATGTTGTGTATTTAGGTTGGGTACAAATGAGTGGAGTTTTCCTCATTCTCTAGTTGAGCTTTATGTCACCTCACAAAATAGTCCTTATGGGTGGTGTACAGCCCAGGACTTAAATACTATTTTTCAGCCCTACACCTAGCCGATGTGAGACTATTTGTCCGTGACATTCTCCTCTACCCAATCACATGACACTATCGTCACGGATCGGCTCCACCGGAGGTCCCACTGAATCATGGAGAGTCCACACACCTGGCAGACAGTAATCTGCTCTAATATCACTTGTCATCTCCCAAAAGAGCTCATTTGTTGACTCTCTGCATTTCATTCTCTAGAATCTTCAATTTTGTGCTTGTCTTACCGATTTCTCGAATATGGCAGAGCGTGACACCATGACTTAAATACTAATTTTCGGCTCTACACCTATCCAATGTGAGTTTATTTGTTTGTGACATTAAGGTTGAATTTGATTAATTAATTAAGTTTGGCACAAGCTTGAGTTTACAACTACAAATTCGAGCTGATTCTTGAACGGGTTTACTTACTATAAAAGATAATGAGAATTATATCAATTTAAGTTAGTTTTATAATAAAATGATAAATAGATAAAGCAATAAGAAAATAAAAAACATATATATTTACTTAATATAAAAAATTAAAAATATTTTTAAATATTTTTAATAATTAAATATAAAGTTTTGAAATTAAATATGTTTTGAGTATATTTAATATGAATAATTTTTTGAAATGACGAGCTCGCGAGGAGTTGGGTGATGGTTGGCTGGAGCTTGGCTTGTCAGCACATTGAGCTCAATTCTCGGCCACTTCTCGAGCTGAGCTCACTTATATCGTGAATTTACATATCTAATTGTACATCAAAAAAGTGTATGCACTATTGGGTTATGAAAACAGGTTCTTTTTTTTTTTTTGAAGTTACGGCATCATTGACTGCGTTTGTTTACTTGAGTGTTTCTCCTTCGTGACATTTAATTAATCGTTGATTAATTAAATTAGCTTGCAAAGTTCTATTCTTTATGAAAATTAATTAATCTTATTGCCTAATGTTTTCTTCCTTATTATAGTTCAGACAAAATTATTCTCCTGCTTCTGCTTTTGCGATTCAAGGCAATTAAGGTTGTTGTCTTAATGGCCAAAGAAAGGAAAAGGGATAAAATGCTTTTGGTGCATAGCAGGATTTTTAGCTTGGCTAATGTTCTTCATACGTTGGTCATACGGGAAGAAGGAATAAAAATCACAAGGTGGCTGTGTGGCTTACAGCAGAAGCAGAAGGCAAGGCAAGGCAAGGCTATGCTTGGTTTCTCGGTTTCTTCTTCTTCGGCAGTGGGAGTAGAGAGAGAGGGAAAAAGAGAGAGAGAGCGAGGAAGAGTTCTTTATTGTAAGTGATCGACATTATAATTCTTCAAGCTAATAAAATCTTCTGCAGCTCCGTGGATATAGACAATTTGTCGAACCAAATAAATCTATGTGTGTTCCTTTGTGTTTCTTTTCTACGAATTTCTCGTTTTAATTTTTCACTTTATTGTCGTTGTTTTTCACAACAATTGATATCGAAGTTTTGGTTCGAATTTAAGGAAGAAAGCGATAGATGGAGATGAATTGATGATAATAGGGATCGAAAGGTTTAATGGCACGGATTTTGGTTACTGGAAGACACAGATAGAAGACTATCTCTATAGGAAGAAATTTCATTTACTGTTATTGGGAAAGCGACCGGAAAATATGGATGAGACTGATTTGAATCTGTTGGATCGACAGGCTCTGTGGGTTATTCGGTTAACTCTGTCGAGATTCGTTGCCCACAACGTTATCAAGAAAATGACTACTGCAGATTTTATTGCAGCTTTGTCAGGTATGTATTAAAATTCATTAGCGAATAATAAGGTGCACTTGATTAAAAAGTTATTTAATTTGAAGATGACGGAAGGTGTGTCTGTTGCCCAACATCTGAATGATTTCAATATCATCACAAATTAATTGTCATTTGTCGAAATTGATTTTGACGATAAGATATGTACGCTGATATTGTTGGCTTCATTGTCAAGTAGCTGAGAAGCCATGAGAATGACAGTTAACAATTATGTAGATAAATCCAAGCTGAAATATGATGATATTTGTGATTTGATTTTTGCAAAAATGTGCGCAAGAAAGATTCTTGCGAGACCTCGGGTTCGAGTTCGACACTGAATGTTGATTCCAGAGGAAGATCACATGACATGAACTCAAACAGAGAAAGATCAAAATCAAAGCATAGAGGTAATAGTAAATCAAATGCTGGTCAGCAAACAACCTATTGTAATTTTAGCAAAGCTGGCCACATAAAAAAAAATTAAAAAAAATTGAAGAAGACATATGATAATAGCGCTAATGTTGTAACTGAAAAAGCACATGATGCATTATTGCTGGTAGTTCACAGTTTTGTTAATGACTATATACTAGATTTAGGAGCTTCTTTCCATACATCTTCTCACCGAGAGTTAACGTGAAACTATGTGCCAGGTGACTTTGGGATGGTGTATCTGGCTGATGAAATGCTCTGGACGTGTTGGAGATGGGAGATGCTGATATTGCACTCACTAACAAGAGTAAATGAACATTGCAAAAGGTCAGACATATTTTTGAGTTGAAGAGAACCCTAATTTCTGTTGGGCAGCTCAATGAAGGTTATAATAGTGGTCTCGGATAACTCCCGGAAGGTTACAAAAGGGACATTGATACTGGCTCGAGATAAGAAAATTGACACGCTATATATGACTACAGATTTACTCAGGCTTGGTCACATGAGTCAGAGGGGCTTGAAAGAACTTCAGTCTAGAGGTAAGCTACCAAAGTTGAACTTAGTTGATCTCAGCATGTGCGAGAGTTGCATTATGGAGAAGCAGAAGAAGATCAGTTTCTTGGAAAGTGGCAAAGCGCTAAAGGCATGAAAACTGGAACTTATACACACAGATGTGTGGGGACATTCTACAATGACATCTCTTGGAGACTCTCGTTACTATGCCACCATCATTGATGACCATAATAGAAAGGTAAGTTTTATTTATCTACCAGAGGTCATAGTGCAGGGAAGTGATGGAAGTGACGAGGAGAGTGGGTCCGGGGCACCCATTCTTATTATTCCGCAGTCAGTTGTAGAGTCGTCCACCCCTATAGCTACAGTTTGCATGTCAGTCAGGAATAGACGTTCTCCTCAGCATTACTCACCAACCTTGAACCATATTCAATTGATAGATGGGGGAGAATCACAAAGCTGCGGAGAAATATTGCAAAATGAAAATTCGACCAGGAAAAATGAGAGGTTGAAGTTGTGCTCGACTTCAGCTGGTCTTCTAGGTTGAAGACATGGGCTTTGAGTTGCAGATGTGGAGAACATCATATTTGAGGAAAGGACGATGCAACTAGTGGGTGATGCAGTCAATATCTCATTTTTTAAGTGAGAGAATTGTTGAGTTGTGGAAACCAATCCTCTTTTTTTTGAGGTTGCGACATCATTGACAGCATTTGTTTACTTGAAAGTTCCTCCTTCGTGACATTTAATTAATTGTTGATTGATTAAATTACCTTATAAAGCTCTCTTCTTTATGAAAATTAATTAACCTTATTTTTTTTATGTTTTTCTTCCCTGTTAATAGTTTTCCTAAAATTATTCCTCTGTTTCTGCTTTTGCGATTCAAGGCAATTAAGGTGGTTGCCTTAATGGGCTTTTTCCTTATATGGGCCAAATAAAGGAAAAGGGTTAAAATGCTTTTGGTATAGCAGGATGTTTAGCTTGGCTAATCTTCTTCATACGTTGGTCATACGGGAAGAATGAATAAAATTCGCAAGGTGGCTGTGTAGCTTACGGTAGAAGCAGAAGGCAACGCAAGGCTTGGTTTCCCGGATTCTTTTTCTTCAACAGTGGCCCTCGGAGAGGAGAGAAGAAGAGACAGAGGGAGAGATCTTTCTTGCAAGTTGACATGTTCGACGGTGTAATTTCTCAAGCTAATAAAATCATCATCTACAGCTCCGTGGACGCAGACAATTTGCCGAGTCACGTAAATCTGTGTGTGCTTCGTAGCATTTCTGTTTTGCCCAATTTACCGTTCCAATTTTTCAATTTATTGTAGTTGTTTTTCACAACATGCATTGATCTTAAAGAGATAACAGTCCAGAAGAAGAAAGACGACATAGGTAGATCCACTGCAAGGAGATTGTGATGCCCACCTGATTGAACGAGCCAAGCCATAATAGTCGATTCAACTAACCCAACACGGACCGAGACAAAAGGCAAATAAGAAGACAACTGGGTGATCTCAGCACGAGTCATTTGACCATAAAACGGGGCAAGAGAGTGTCTGAGCCTTCCGCTGTAGAAAAGCCAACTTGATCTAAAAACATATTCTATCGTGGAGCCAACCCAATGAAAGACTCGGTTCCACAAAGTATCTTGGACCATTCCAAGAAGACCTGAAGTCTCCTCGCCAGGGATCTAAGTCAGTCAGCCAGGCTGGATTAGCCAAACGAAATCTACCGATCATGCCCAATCGACCGAGTTGACCCTGTTGATCCAAGTCGGCTAAGCTTAGTAGACCGAGCTAAAAGGTGTTCAGATAATAAGCACACTTTTGTAAAATGCTAGAAATATCCCAAAACATACTATCTTCAAATGAGAGTAAATTTATAATATCACCATTGATGTATGTCAGAAGATTCATGACAACACTAATAAATTTAGTATCTTAGTGTTACACTAAAATTTATCACACAATTAAGTAATTAAAGTGACAGGTCGAGACACTATAAATTTTTCTATGGAAAACCCTATAAAGGGGAAAAAAACAACGAGGTCTAGCCTAGCTGAAATAATCCACTATGTAATAGTGAATACACAAGCCCGTTATTCTTCT